GGGGGGTTGGACTGGATGATCTCCTGAGGTCCCTTCCAACCCCACCAGTCTGTGACTCTGTGATTCTGTAAGTTTGTGGAGGTGGTGGCACATAACTAAAAAAAAAGCTTTTAATGGTTTGGTAAGGAAATCAGCAAATCCCTGGAGACTGGGATGGGGTGACAGGTGAGGGGAGCTTTTTCCCCCTGTCTTTATCATACTGTCCTTGGCCCTGGTGTCTGCGATCGCTAACATCACTGTGCCCTGTTCATGGAATCATAGAATCCCAGACTGGTCTGGGTGGGAAGGGACTTTAAAGCTCCTCCAGTTCCAACCCCCCTGCCAGCAGCAGGGACACCTTCCACTAGACCAGTTTGCTCAAAGCCTCATCCAACCTGGCCGAGAACACTTCCAGGGAGTTCAAGCAGTCTTGCGTGGTGACGAGGCACTTTATGAGCAGCAGGAACTGCGACAGAGGGGCTTTGGCTGCAGAAGACCTGCCCCAAGCCTCTCCATGTGGGCTCACTTTAATTGCATGGGAAAGCTGTGGGTGTAGGGGACGTGAACCTTTCCGTGGTTTCTGGAAACCAGTGGTGATTCAGAAATGCCTTGGATGTGGGAAAGAGCGATTCTAACAGGGAAGTGACCAGATCCTGTTTTCATGGAGCTCTGTCCCTAAATTACCTGTGGCATACTGAGAGGTAGCACTGCTCACCTGGTGGGAAGGGGTGGGAGATGTGAGGGAACAAGGTTCAGTGTAGCTCTATCAGGTCCTGTGTTGATGAGCTGGTTCACTTCTTCTGGTTCTACCACAAAACTTGTGATGTCCGTGAGCGCAGCTGGGCACCAAACACCTGGATTGATGCTGTCCTCTGCCTTCGTTCACAGGAGTGGGGCTGGCAGCTGTGGTTCTCTCCTTCTGGCTGAACATCTACTACATTGTCATCATCGCCTGGGCTCTCTACTATCTCTTCAACTCTTTCACCGCGGTGAGTCACTGACATGTCTACAGCATGGTGTTGGTAGAGTTTTGGGTCCTCACTGCCTGCTTTATGGGGGGGAGTTGTCCATGCCATGAAACACACACTAACTGCTTTGTCAGCACCCCGCTGGACCCTTCCCAAAGAGGTTCATCACCCCTGAAGGCAGTGTTGATGGGTTCTGATGCTTGTCCTCTGGAGAGGGTGGTCCCATCCCTTCTCTGGGATCTGTTCCCCACTCACATCAGTCTTTAAAAACCCACCCTGTGTCTCTGTCACGGTTCTAGAGTTGTGTGAATCCAAGAGCTGCACATTTCCACATCTGGTTTTGTCACAACATGTTTTTATTTACCCAGGACTCAGTCCTGACCTTAATTAGTCCTCATTTACGCTTCTCTTGATAAACGAAATCCAAGGGATTTTTTTTTCTGCTGGGAAAATGACTCAGAAAGCATTTAGACATCTGCTTGTGACTGTTCCCCAGCAAGTACTTTAGCACTGTGGTTTATAGTGGGTGAAAATGACTCAGAAAGCATTTAGACATCTGCTCGTGACAGCTCCTCAGCAAGTACTGTGGTTTATAGTGGGTTCTTTTCCCATAGCAGGGTCTTCTACAAGGTTAGAATCATGCCCCACATTAACTTCTTGCTATCTGAATGATTTATTTCAGCCCAGCAGCTGGGCAGAGCTTCCTCAACTTAACCCTCTGAGCAACCTACAGCCTTAAAGACATCACCTCCATGGTTCGAATTGCGTCTTTTTTCGTTCAGGTAGAACCCTGGGATGCTGTTATGACCGTTGTACATGCAATTTCATTTTTGGTTTGAGCAAAAATTTCAAGTATCTGTCAAGACTTTTGCTAAAACACTCTCGTTTGGCATTCCCAGCTGTGCTTCTGTAATACCCAACTCCTGTAGGCTCCTGGGGCCAGAATAAAATCATCAGCCATGGATGATTAGGTGCACCTTCCCCAGTGAACAGAGGTCTACCCCAAAGGAACCCATCTCAGTTACACCCTGGGCAGGATGCATCTTAGGATGCAGCTTTGGTACCTTCAGGTGTCACAGACCTGGCCGGTGACAGTGCTCGCATCTACACAGGCACCTCCAGGTGTTTGGTCCAAAGCCTTCTCTTTAACCAGAGATACTTCCAGATTCCCCAAAGGAGCAGAGGTGCACCTCAAAAAGCTGGGCTGATGTCTGTCCCCTGTTCCTCCTAAATTTGACTAGAAGTATTTTGAACATGAACAGGAATCTAAGAATCCC